TGTGTGTCATGGATGAGTGATTTAGATCACTTAAAAGAACCACCACCAACGGTATTAGCAAAAGTAATTGTAATGTGGATCTGTAAAAGTGTGACTTAGCAAAGTTTGATGGCAAAGGTTCCCTCTACTTCTTACTACGTGGAAGAAACATACAAAGGAAAATCAAGTTAGAATCAATTTAGAATGATTGACACAGAGACCGGAGATGCAAAAAGGTAAGGGAGACCCTCCTGTTGAGTCACGAGGTTCAGAGTAGACCCCCTTGTTTTCTAAACTCATGCTGGAGCCTAGGTGTGGCTAGATCCAATCTTAGTCTCAGACTTGGTCAACACTTTATGTCTAATGGAAGAGGTATACAGGGTTAGGGAAATCTCTTGTTGAGTCACGAGATTCAGAATGGACCCCCTTGCTTTCTAAACTCCCTCAGAGAGGAGTCTAGACTTAGTCCCAGACTTGGCCAGTGGTTTATATCTAATGGGATAAGACGTGGATTTCATTCAGCATGCTGCCGGTCACAGAGGACCTATTGTGAATAAAGGGTCTCTCTGCCATGGATAAGGAAGGATCTCTTAGTCTCAGGTGAGGAATCTCAAGCCTTAAGAAGCGTCCCCGCTCAAGCAGAGAGTCGCCTGACATGCAGTCCAGTTGCTCTCCAGGGAGAACTCGAATTGGGCTCTTCCATTGGTTTGTCATTGGCAAAAAGCCTCTTTGCCTTGAGGAGCAGCCTTGAGACAAGTCCCAGCTCAAGGGCAAGTCACCACCTTGCAGCCACACTGCCTAGAAGGGAGAGCTCAAAGCAGGCTCACTTAGGCTGTTGTATTTATGAGATAACGTGATTGGCTTGTAGCCAAACTGCATACAATGGGAAAGACATGCACGAGACCCCTTGTACCCACAACATCCTTTGTTCCTTGATAAACGAACCTTGGGAAAACCACCAGCTTTTCAGGTGTTAGTCTCATGATTGGTGATCCAAGCTCACACGCATTGGTGCTCACTGGGTCGCTGTGCTCCTTTGTGTGTTTTCTTGAGGAGTTCTTGTCCCAGCTCCAGCTCAGGCCGTTACCTCTTTTGGAGTCCGTACCCAACTGCTGGGAGTTTGGTGAAGGGGGAGTCAAGTGCATCCGTCACGCTGTGCCTGGTGAGGGAAGGGTGGGTGTGCCAAGGGACTGGTAAGCTTTCATCTTGCTTAGAGAGGATTTTATGCACGGGTAAAAGTCTTCCAGTTTCATCAGCTGCCTGGATTGCAAAGAACAAGGGATGTTTTCTTTGCCATCAAGGTAGAAATACCAGCAAACTTCCTCACTATGAAGATTTCTTGCCACACTTTGAGCCTAAGAGCTTGGGTGGCATGAATTAGGGTGAGCTAATCGTGGACTTGTACATCGCTGCTTGTGCCCATCACATTTTGTGGTTGGAGGTGGCTCATCAGAGTATTTCCGTTTGAAGGTTTGAAGGACACGTTTTGTCCTGTGTGGCTTTTGTCTTTTGCAGAAGGACCTCCCTCCCTGGTAGAAATGGTTCTATTTGAAAGGATCGATGAAATTTCTTTCACTTTATTTCTTGTGTGTGTGTTTCCCCTGCCTCCCACAGCACCACAGATGTCAGCTGGGATCCTGGAGGTGCATTCAGCTTGATAGGATCTGGGTGGGGGAAGTTCACAGAGGTCTTCTGGGAAGGTGGGTGCATTGAAAGGTGGAGAAAATATGGATGTGTGAGCCCCGTGGACCACTCCTGACTCACTGAACTTATTTAAGGAAGGAAAAATTGTCTTGAAAGTAGCAATACTAGTGGAGCTTAGGTCCCTGTGGAACAGGATCCTTTGTCCTGTCCAATTTCCCATCCCACCAGTTGGCCAGCCAGCTGCAGATGAGCTCTAAAAGCAGAGTTCTTCCAGCCTGTCTGCTGCAGGAGAAGTTCAGTTGGATCCTTTCCTGTAGCTAACAAGTGAAAATGTGAATTACTGATTGAAAATCAATGCTTCACTCACAGGTGCTGGGTCTGATACACCAGAGAAGCACCAGCATTTCCTGAGATGGATTCTTAGGCTGGGCACCCATGCGTTACACTGCCAGCTATTCCCATTTACCCAGCAGATTTTCCTTTGTTTGAATATTCTTGTTTAACATTTTGCTTGGTCCTTGAAGGCTTTTGCAGGTATTGTGATGGTTCGGATTCACTTCGTTACTGCTAAAAATTAATACTTGCATTGTAATGACTTGAACTGCAGTTCTGAGAAGCCTGGTTGTGCTCTCCAGACGCAGAAAAAGTGCAAATCCTTGTTCCTAAAACTTCCAGTGCAATCTGTTCTCTCCCAGAGGTTTCCAGAGCCACTTTATCTTCGTTGCAAAAGAAGCATAAAATAAAGCAAAACACCAGGTATTAGTTTGGGGGAGATGACTCTGAAACCACTCAGAAACTGGGAGTAGCTGGAGTGTTTTTTCAGCTGAGTCTGTTTAGTCTGAAAACAGAGGTCACCTTGGCGCTTTCGGACTTCGGAAGCCTGTAACCCAGATTTAATCGTGGAGAGGGGCACCGTCTTATTTATTTTTTTTTTTTTTTTTTTTTTTTTTGAGACATTAGAAGGGGGTACTGACTGACAGACAGCAAGATCTGTGAATCGGGCACCGTTAAGACATCTCAAATCAGGCATCTGGAAATGTAGGCCCCTGAAATCTGTTGTCAACTTTGAAAATCCTATTCTCCCCCCCCTCCTCCTGCCAGCTTTGAAAGTTCGAACTCTGTTCTTTTTATCACATTTGTCATTCCTTAGTAATGAAGCTCTGGCATTCAAAATTTGGCTGACAACTTTGTGGGTATGAGCCAAAATGAAGTTCAACTTGCACCTTTCTCTGATGCGCCCAGTGCTATTCGCAGCGAGAGGCAGAAGTCTGAACTAGAGGGACGCCAGTCTCATTCATTACAGCAATTACTATCTTCTCACTGATGCCAAAATTAAACTTGTTTTCTTTATGCTAATGTAGGTGGACAGGAACTGATGAGGTGTACGCAACAGGAATGTCGAGAGCGCAAGTGCCATGTATAAACCATTTCTTCTCAGGCTATTCCTTCATTTTAAATAATGTAAGGGTCATAAATGTGATAGAAATCATGCAAAATCAGTGCTGCAAAAGACTTAAAATAGTTCCAGGCAAGTTCAAATATTATTTTATAGAGGTTCAAGTCCAGCACTTTAAGGTTTGATAATTTTGAATACATTTAAATGCACTTTTAAAGTTGTTTAGATCTCTAAACTGAATGTGTAGTTCAACTGGTGTTGGGAGAACGGGCTTTTGGGGAAGGAGAAATGAGAAACTCAGGAGTGAGATCTGATGTAAATTCCGCTGGGCCTGGCTTCTGTCTTTGTCCATGGCCAACTATATGGATTGCATAAGGTATGTATAACCGAGTGTGGGACAGGATCCAAGTGTGCCAAGCACTCGTGCTGGATGGAAGCTCAACCATGAGCATGTTGTGCCAGGTTTCATGGCAGTGTCATTTGGGCAAACCCAGTGTTCCCTCTTTCCATTCCTTTAGTTCAGTGTTTGGCAGCAGATGGCTTGAGGATGCACTTTGAGGAAGCTCATGTTTGGTCTTCATGACTGGAGGGTAACGGTGGCAAAATTTGTGCCCACAGTGCTGTTTGTATTTGCAGTCTGATGTCCTCCTGCTCTGACCACTGAGATTGCAAATTCTCAGAGGTCCAAAACCTCCAGGTTCTACATTGTTGGGGCAGTGTGGTAGCTGATACCAGTCTTTGGGAAGGACTGAGAAGTTACAGTCACCAAGCATTTAAAACATTTAGAAATCCCACTCTGATACGTGTGAAAGCGCTTAGTGCTTCAGACCGGATTTCTCTTGGTTGCCTAATGTGGTATTTCCCTAAAGTGTGGAGCAAAGGACTTGCTTTGAGGAAACCATGAGAGCTGCTGTTGTTTAATTATTCTAGACCTATGCTGATTAATTACGGCCCTTCCTGGGCTCCCCTGTGGGATAGTGGTCTTTAAACCTTGTATCAAGTTGTTTGTTCAGAGGAAATGTTTTAATTTTCAGATGCTGGTGACTTTTTTTCCCTTCTATAAGTGTTGTTATGTTAGCAAGATATCTATATCGCTGTTGGTTCTCTCACGCAGAAGTGAGATTTTTTGGGGAGAGAAGAATGTTTCTGATGTAATTTAATTCCCATTTACAGGCAGGTGGAATTAAAGTCTGGTTTCTGGGTTTCCAATTGCAGATGCACAACGAATTTGAAGAGGCATCTGTATCTCTGAAACTGAGATTTGCTGAATTGCCATTTGGTGCCCAGCTTTTACAGATATCAAGAATTGAATCAGAACTTGACTACCAGAAGCAACATTTATATATTTCAGTTCAAATCTCATGAAACTGTGGGGATACAGATCGGGAAGTAACACGGGCTTACAATGTTTAGCTCAGACAATTATTCAGATTGTTTTGGAAATGAAATTGAAGTTTCTGATAAATTCTTTAAGTCTGCTTGCAAGCGTATTGACTCAGCAGCTGACATACGATGTTCTCAGGGTTGATTTTTCTGCTTTGGGGGGGAAGGCACCTGGAGTTTCTGTGGTCCTGTCAAGGAACTGAAAGTTTGCACAGCTGCTTTTTTTTTTCCTCAGAGGTCATCAGTAAACATACAAAGAGACTTTATAAATCGTATCTGAATTTGTGTGATAAGCAGGATAGGAGTGGTCACACAAGCAATGGCCAGTTTTGAATGGGAGAGATGGAGGCGATAAGTCACGCTGCTGTAAATCACTGTCAGTGACTAGAGTGGAGCAACACCTTCCCTTATTTTGGGATGTAACTGTGTGTGTAGGTGCCCATGGAACTGGACAACAAACCAGCTTTTCTCCTGGTTTGGATTGCAACCGTATCTGAAACTTCAGAGTTGGTAAATCCCCGAGGAGATGATTCTAAAACACGTGTTGCAAGTCCGTTGCAGTCTGCTGTGCTAAGCCTTTCTTTCCTTTCCTCCCCAGCAATCAAAGAGAAATACATGGACTGGACGGAGTTTCTCATACACGATTTGACCGGTGCCCGGACTGCGCCTGCGAATTTACTGGAAGGCGTATGTATTAGATTGCAGTTTCTATCCGATAACGGCATCGCGGTGTGCATGCTGCAGCAGTGTTTGCACTCCTGACGTTTAGGGCTGTGTGCTTGTAACATCTGTGTGCCAGCATCAGGGGCTGATCCAGCGCTGGCCAAAAGTCAGTGGCAACGTTGCCTTGACTCTGCTGGCTCTACTTCTGACGTAGTGCTGGGTAGTTTGTTTTGCCTTTAAGCTGGAGGGTGGTGCTTAGGAAGTTGGGTGCTCGAAGAGGGCTGGGTGGTGAAGGAGAGAGTGGAGGGAGTCTGTAGGGAGAAGGACACAACCCTTCAGTGCCCCATTAGACCCACGAAACTGGTGAGCTGAGCTTTCAAGTCAGGACGCAGGTTGGAGAAGGGGTTTGGTAGGTTGATGGGAAGCACTGTCAGGTTTATGTGTGTATGAAAATAGCTCCCCCAAGGACATTCCCTCCACCTAAACAGCGGTCAGGTTTAGCAGGGAAGCTGAGTGAGGCGGCCTCAGTAGTCAGGAGAGAAAGGTCTGTTTTCTCAGATGCACCCATATGGCCAAGAGCCCAGTCTGTGCCGTGTATTCACAGGGCGCCTGGGGCAGCCTCAGCTTGCCTTGAGATCTTGGACAGAAATCCCACAGATTCACCTTGAAACTGTGGGAGCAGAGCACCTTCTTCATCGGGACCTGCCCTGCTCTCTTGTGGATGCTGTGAGGGGCATTTGGAGGAGGAGACAGCACATCCTGCAGGAGATAATTCTCTCTGCCCCTCTATTTAGGATGAGAGTGAAGGTGCACAGGCAGTTTACCTTTGTGTAAGCTCTGGTGTTGGGTTTTTGGAAGCAAGTGTGTATCCAGGCATCCTTTTTGATCATTTTGTCCCTGGTCACTCCCACCAGCCACAGCTGCATCCTTCTTCCCTGTGTCTGAGCAGTATGAGCTGCCTGGCAGGGAGAATTAATAGCATACCATCAGGGATATTTTATCAGGGATATTTTTTTTTTTTTTTTACCCCCCAATCTGTTAGCCAAACAGCTCTTGCACGCCCAAAATAATGCCTGTCCTCAGGTCTGCTGCATCCCCGTTCCTGGACCATTCCCAGGTGGCATATGCAGAAAGCTGGTGGTGTCTAACACCCATCTCTGGTGTATGCCAGTGCCATCGCAAAGCTCTCCATTCCCTTTCTGCAGGCAGAGAAAAGAGGCAGCCCCAGGCAGAAATGCAGAGAGAGAAAACGGTGCCTTGGCTTGAAACAGTTTCTGACCCTTTTCTGGTGTTTTATGCAATATATGTGCTGTGTCGTGTAATGTATGTAACCCCCTGTCCACAGATTTGCTGTTCGTGAATGCTGCAGATTGTTGTTACACTGTTAAATCAATATGTAGTGATATATTTTTTTTACATGCTAGCTATGCATATAAAGAGTTCTTGTGTTATGGTAAATGTTAATATTTCATGCAAGCCAATTATTAATCTCAGCCATTCAGTTCTCAGGGGTAAGTGACAGCCCATTGGCTTAAAATTTAGCACACAAATCAGAGAAGCAATATTCACTTTTATACAGCCAGGGATTTATTATAATAAGTTAAATCATTACACCATCATTTCATATTAAAGAATGCTTTGTTGCAATGAAGCAGTTGTAAGAAGAGAGGAAAAAAACCCATTGAAGTAGATTTCTATTATATTATTAAATTTTGACACTGTATTTTGCCATGAAATAATATTTTGAAGAGATTATACAGGTGTCTGTAACTTACACTATAGAGGAATGGCTTATAATGGCAAATACACTGTTCTGAGAAATATCAATCATAGAGCTGGTTAAAACTGTACATGCGATGAGGTTTTAGTTAATTTTAATTACATATTTTACCAGATTCTCATTCTGTTGTCTGCATTTTTGGGTTAAGGGAGATGCAGTAAAAATCAGTTGCATTTCAACATTTTTATTACTTTCAAAATTCAAAAGGAAAGGGAACTTTTTTGGAAAAAATAAAGTCTTTCTCCTCTGTTTTTCTAGCCACCCCTAGAAAGAACCATTCTGGACTGACTCTGATTTACAGAATTAATATTTTTTAAAAATACTGTGAAAGGTTTATATTGTTTAATTAAGTAGAAGTGGGGCAAACAAAAAAGTCATTGTTTTTAATATGTTTTGCATATATTTGCATCTCCTTTGGGGATCAGTGCTCCCAAATCTTGTGGTGTTTTTTTTAATGCTGCTCTTAAAACCCTGGAACTGAGAAATTGCTTAAGAACTGGAACTTGCATTTAATAAAAAAGAAGAAATCTAACGGTTGTGTTAGTGGAGAAAAGCTTGACAACAGAGATGCTCGCAATCACAAAACAAAAACACTGAGCCCCAAAGGTATCGTTCTGCAAAGCATCTCATGGTTTTTTAATGCTTGTGGTTGGCAGCTTTGCAGGTGTAAAGTTAAGCACATGTGTAAATGGTTGCAAAACTGGAATCACAGGAAATACTATGTGTGAGTAAATAACCTCAGTCACTGGGATTTCTTGGACATGGTGACTTAACCCAACAAATCCTGTGTGCCTTGGGCTTTGATCCCAAGACCAGTTAAGCTGGTAGGAACCTCCCGTTGGCTTTGGCCTCTGGAGTAACCACCACAGACTCTTGCCTCTATGGCTATGGGGAGTAATTTGCTCTATATGCCAGCAGGAATGAGATAAACCATTCATTGAGAAAGATCATTGCACAAAGGGTGGTTTCAGAGGCATGCCCAAAGTAGTTGCCTTTTAGTTAAATGCCAGTGTCCAGTCCTGTGATTGGTTCTTATCAGCTGCAGTCAATGAGAATTTGGTTTATAACTGGGCTTTGAGTTGTTCAGGAGCATCCTAAGTGGATGTGCCTTATGAGCTGTTCCACCTTTTATTATTCTTTTTTGTTGTTGTTGATGATGTCGGTTGAGAAATTAGCACAACTGTTGTTTTCTGTTTTACTTCTGAATTTGCACTTGGAAGACATTGAGTAAAATAGAAGAAGAACAGACTGTTTGCTGATCGCTTGGATGATGGTGTGAAAAACAAAAATAATCTTCTGCTGTCATCTGTTTCCTTGAGAAGTCTTCAAATAAAGTTTAAAATAAGGAGTTTTGCTTCTATTCAAACAGCCTCTGCGAGGAAAAAACCCTGTAGACCTCATTACAGTTGATTCCTTAATAGAGCTGCAGGATTCCCAGAATCCCTTTCAGTACTGGATAGTTAGTGTGGTTGAAAATGTTGGAGGAAGATTACGCCTTCGCTATGTGGGATTGGAGGAGACTGAATCCTATGACCAGTGGTTGTTTTACTTGGATTGCAGACTTCGACCAGTCGGTTGGTGTCAAGAGAATAAATACAGAATGGACCCACCTGCAGGTAAAGGTCTTCCTAAAAATACTCTCTGCCTTTGGGGCATTTACTGATGTTTTGAGATACTTACGCAACCCATTTCTTCTCCAGCATTCACATTGCTTTGACAGTAGTTTCCAGCTATAACACAGATGGCATGTGAGAGCCATCTAATTTGGGTTCCAAGTGGGTCGGGTAGACTGTATTAAATTTATTTAATAAATTCAGTTCAGCTTAGCTCAGTCCTGGAAGGAAGCAGTGTCCAATAAAAGCAGTTCTGTGTGGTTTTCCACCAAGGAGCAGAGCTGATGGGTGTCATCCAAGGATGTGCCTGCTTGTCCAGCCCTTTTCAGTGGCATTTTAGTGACCAGGTTTTCCTGGACATACTGTAGGCATCCTGGTGGAGGCCTGACTGGGAACTAGTCTTCTGCTGTCCAAATCAAGTCCTAGGTGGCATGTCTCTGCATGTACTAGGCTCCGTCTGCTTTCCCCTCTTGCCCATTTGTTTTTCTGTGGCCACACACATTTTTTCTGGGTAGCTGTAGACATCCATAAAATTTCCTGGGGATGGAGAAAGTGTTTTGAGACCCTCATGGCCCATCTGACACAGGTCTTTCATATTCTGCTGTAATGCTGGTGTACATCTGCCAAGTGAGACCTCCCTTGTGTGTAACCTGTCAGAAGGTGCGGTGAGGGTTCTGGGGTTGTCTGTCTGTGCATGTCAACCTGCCCATTGCGGGGTTATGGGGTGCCTGTTGCTAGAAGCTAAGAAAATACTTACTTGAGTAAGGGCAGATGGGGTTTTTCAGACTTAAAAGACCACAGATTTTTGTCCTGCGTTTTCTCAAAGGGAGCGAAGCCTTTGGAAATATGTCAGACCAGATTCAACGTAGGGGAACTGCAACTTGGAGAAGCAGCTCTTTGGGGTTTAGTGTTCAAACCAGCTTGGGTGGAGAGAGGGACTGAATTTAAGCCAGTCTGGGGTCAGAAATTGGAAGTCACCACGCCAGAGGGAGGAGAAGTTCCAGGGACAGGAGCCAGGTAAAAGAGTCAGACACAAGCAGGCTGGGCCAGGAGGCTGGTCAAGGGTAGAGTTTCGAGGGCAGCTGGAATCAAACTCCAAACAGTGGGACTGTGTTGGCAAAAGGAGCAGGATCAAAATGGCAGGGAAAGAATGACTGCAAGGCTGAGCGTAGGGGAAGACGAAGCATCTCTAAGGTTTAGCAGGCAGGGTACGTGCTGGGGACCACAGCACACAGTAGGGGCTCAGGGCTGCTTGAAGCCTCCTGGAGAAATGCTTGCAGAGGCTTTCACTGGCAGGTTCTGGGGCTGCCTTTGGAGATATGTTTCCATCCAGACTATACCTCACTAAAGGTGGGGATGACTGGGAGGGTGAATTTTTTCCACCACCCAATAATATTGGTCAGAACTTTGTGAAAGTTGCTGGGTGGTTGGATGTCTCAGGGGTTTGGCTCTGCGTTGGTCTGACTTGAGTTGGTTGAGTCAAGTTGGTTGACTTGACTTCTTCTGGAGTTAGGGATCTGGTTAAACATGACAGCTTAGGCTATTGCCTGCATGGTCTTCCTTGGGGCACAAAGCGTGGCATGTCTATTTTTCATAAAACTGTGGCTTATACTTGGGGCCACAAAGCTGTTTGCCCAGTCCTGTGGAGCATGGCTCCTATTTCTAGCTGGATGCCCCAGGACTACTATTTCCCTCAAGAGATGAGGTACTTTTTTGGTTAATTCACAGGTTTTGGCTCAGCAGACCTACTCCGCCTTTTCCTGTGTAGGTGAACAACGTGTCCAAGTCTGTCCCTCATTTTCCTTGTGCTGTAGGTGAAGTTTTTCCATGAGTGTCAAATGATAGCAGAAAGGTAGCCCTCCTTTGGGGAGGTATTTCTGATGTGCCTCCTGTCCATCACGCGTGATTCAGAGAAGTTACCCCAATACATGCAACTGTCATGTTCACGAGTCCGTCTGGGTCTTGGGTCCAACTTGGGGTCTTGAATGCTTTTTGGAAGCATGTGTTTTTCTTCACTGATAGGTAGGAATCAATGTTCCCCATCACTTCTAAATTAGATGCGAATGCTGGAGAGCATGAATATCACTCATTCTGTTATTTTACAGAGTGTTTGTGTTACAGAGCAACACTTCTTTTATTGACCATCTTTGAACTCTTCTTGGCCTGTATAGGTTTGGTGAATCAATACAGAAATGGCCCAGATGAGATTTATGCTTCCTCTTTGTTTATTCCATTCTCTTTCTACTCTTTCCTCCTTTTATCTGGTTGTGCTTCCCTCTATATGGATTGCACTTCCCCCCCGCCCCGTTCTTTTTATTTTCATTTTATCTATTGTCTTGTCTCCAGACTTGTTATTGGACTCCTTATTTGCTGTAGTTGTTTGTTTCTTCTCCCCTCTCCTTAATTTAACTGCTTTTAACGTTTCTTTCTCTTTTTCTCATCTGTCTTCATCTGATATCTGTTTCCCCTGCTTGGCATTTCTTTGGTCATTCACTTTTTAGTGAAATTTGTTACTGATTAGTTAAATGCCCAGATCTTCTTCCCGGCTTTCCTTAACTTAAATAGGTGGTCACTACTTTACATCACTGAAAGTTGGGCCTCATAGGAGTTTGCTGAGAAAAGACCCTTTGGGTCTGAACCCTTCCATTTTCTCACCAGTCCTCTCCTGAACACTGCCCCCAGGGGTCTTTCTTTGATAAACCCACCTTCTAGTCTACCAGTTTGTCAGGTTCTGCACTCCAGGGAGGAGCCAGTCAGAAATGGGAATCTGATGAGTTTCTGTAGGCAGGAATACTTTTGTTTTGCCACTTCTGACATAGTGGACTACATGAGCCGTTTGTTGTCCACCTAACATCAACGTGTTCAAAGCACATGGATGAGTAAAGTGTATGAGACATTAACCCAGAGGAGGAGGGTAAAAGCCAAGTGGCTGGTCTTAGGGGATGTTTCAAATTAAAGAGTCTGCAAAAGAAATCTTCGAACCAGCAGGCAGGCAAACAGTAGTAAGTTGTCAGGATGAGATGCTGGCAGCAGAGAGCTCTAGAGAAACTCAGGGATGAAGCTACTCAACCACTAACTGTCAACGGATAAAATTTTGTAAGAACCCCAGGCCAGGAGAGTGTGCCAGGGACACATCCTTGGCTGCTTATATCCTTCCTAGTGGCTTATACAGTAAATAGGATTTGGACTGGAAAGACCTTTGTGTAAGACCTAGTGTGGATCTTCTTACAAAAGGGAGAGAGTTGAGAGAGACCATGGGCAGTGTGTGTATATATATATATATATATATATATATATGTATATCTATCTATCTATCTATCTATCTATCTATCTATCTATCTATTTATTTAACATCAGGGATTAGATTCACCTGCTGTAGTGCAGGAATCCAGAAGACAGTTCAGCACCAGCTGCTGCTTTCTTTTTCTGATCGGTGGAGAAAAGAGGGCGTCAAAGACAAGTCCAATTTAGGAGATGAAATGACATCTTCATAAACCTTTTTTTTTTTTTTTTTCTAATCAGGGGGGGTTGAAAGCGATGAACACAGCCCTGGTTGTCTAACATTTGAACGTCTGAAGCCAGTTAAGGTGGCTCCTTGACTGATAACAGGAACAGCCTTAGACTGTATAGTAAAGCTGTTGTGAATCTCCTCCTAAGAGATGCTGAAGACACGCAGCTCCCCCAAAATCAGGTTGCGTGTTCAGTTGCTATCAAATGAGGATGTTCAGTTATACATCAGTTCTGCAGGTCGTGACGGTGCTGTGCCTACCCTTGACTTGGATGTTGCATATGTACCTTCAGCTTTATTTCCCTTTGTGTCTGGGCTGTGATTTTTCTGTGTTGATCCACCTCTGGGACCTGCCAGGTTGGGTTTCACCTTGCACAGCAGTTTGAGGTCAGTCTTTTCATCTCGTACAAAGGAGATCCCATAGATCCAAATGTCTACAGTATTTTGGATGGAGAGGTCTCTTTTCGGAAGCCATCCACATCCTAGCACCCACTTAATGGATGAGAATACACAAGAGGGTCTTTGGGAAATAGCATCCTGGATGCTTTCTCCAGATGGCAACTTCCAGGGACTTTGTATGTCTCATGAGCCCAGTTAGCTGAGGCAAAGGGATCATAGCTTATTTTTTTCCCTCAGATGTGTATCTGAATCCAGAATAAGCCTCCTTGCTAGTGCAAATTGGCACTGGCTGCTTGACACGGAGCCACTGATGGTCTTCCTTTGACTGTTTATGCAGGAAGAGATTGTCTTGTTTTATGCTACTTTCTATTTAAAGACAAATTGGCAGTCATTTTAATTGCTCACTCCTTGTTAACCTAAATACAAATTGACACAGTACACTTTATTCAATTACCTGCAACCCTATCACTTAAACCAAATGCTTTATGCTCTTTTAACCGTGCGATTTAGTGTCCATATACTTGTCAGCATAAGCGAGATGCCACTAATTAAACATGCATATGATATTGCTTGCTGCTCATTGAAACCGCTGGAGTTGTCGTTATCTCTTGAAGTTTATTGACGCTGCCCAAAGAAGTTGCTGCTTGTTTTCACTGATTTTGAGAAGAGTCACACGAAACGCTGCTTTCTTCTTTCCTATGCTCCGCTGCCATCACGGTAGAAAATGAGGGTCTGTTTTCAGCTTGCGCTCTCCAAGGAGCAGGGCAGCATCCAGAAGCATTTTCCGAAACTCAGACTTTTTTTTTTTTTTTAGTTGAAACAACAGGCTGGCTGCAGCTTGGGGCAAAATCATATTGTATTCAGTATTTCCCTGTTTGGCTCCATTTAAAACAAATAGAAGAAGCAAGGTGAGTTTTTTCCCCTCCCTGTACTTCAAGCCGATCAGGGCTCCTGAAAGTAAGGGAGAACCGGAGCAGCAAGGGTCTAAAATAATGAACAATTAGTTAAAGAGGGCACTTCTGAACACTTGTGACCACTGCACGTGCTGTAAACAAAGACTTGATATGTATATTCCCATTAATAACCAGACAGTTGAGGAATTAAAAATACCGCCCTGAAAGGTTAACGCTTCCCTTTAAGTGTGTTTAAATTCATATGCATATCCTTGATGTCTGTTCTGAAGTAGCGAGGTTTGATATAGTGGAAGTATAAATACATCCACTTCCAGTGAGTGATTCTGCAAATCCTATTTTGATAAGGTCTTAAATCTGTTGAGATCAGAGCATAAAATTCTCTTGTACCATCAGTGCTAGGTGAAAACAGTGCTTGCCAATTCCTTTTTTTATACATATTTTTTATTTCCTCCTTCAGAGCTGTAAGATACAGCAGTAAATCTTTGCGAGCTAGTAAATATATATGGTTATTAGATGTACAGAATTTAAATGCAAATTGGGCCAAATTGAACTGTGATGTAAGCGCGCGAAGCCAAACTGGCAAAAGAAGAGCTTCACACTGTTCGCTCCCATTCAAGGTTCAAGTTTATTATTGAGCAAACGTTAATTTCCATTTTAATAATTGTTGCAATCTGTCTACCTATCTTGTCTCTTTAAGACCTTGATATGAATGTTCTGCAATAACTTGTTATGTGCAGGATAACAATATGTTTTCTAGGGCAGAAGTAAATCCAATATAACATTCTTCATCATAGTATTGTTTCCTTTGATGATTCATAGGCATTTCACTGCACTGAACCATAAAGGGCTTGTTAATATAATGATTTAATAATATTAAACCTATTTAAAGAAACTCACTGAAAGCAATGTGAATCTGCACAAAGATGTTGCCTAAAAGTGTAACGATGAAAATTCATAGGTCTCTGAATTGCTGTGATACTCTGGTTTGAGTGTGGTACCAACAAATGGGTCTGGGTAGAGATCTAGCTGAAGTGTTCCTTCCCACATCTCCCCCCACCCACCACAAAAAAAACCCAAAAACAAACCACCAACCCTACAGTAAGAAAAGAGACTTTCCAATGAACAGAAGGCTCGGTAAAGATATTTCTAGTTTTGTTCAAATATAACTAATCTTGGCTGGAGACCTGAGGCTCCTCAAACTAGAAAACATCAGGTATTTTGAGAACTGAAAATCAAAGATTCTTTTTTTTTTGTTATTTTCAAGTAATAGTACAGTTCTCATTTCTTCAGCAGAAAATGAGGGGCATGCATTTTTCTGGGTTTTACTCCAGGATATAAACCACAATCTTCCTCAAATATGCCACTGCTGGTTGCTTTTGTGTTGATTTTTATCCACACTGTACAGCTTGGAATATACGCACTATTCATTTCACTTGTGCTGCCCGTTTTTATCACATAGAAACTTAAGACTTCCAAAATTTTTGATCCCCAGTCACCTCTTGGTTTTGTTGTTTTCTTCTGTTATCATTGCTTTAGATATCTATTCTCTGAAGACTATATCTGAGTGGAAATGCGCTCTGGAAAAATCCCTTAATGATGCAGCAAATTTTCCTCTTCCAATGGAAGTATTTAAGGTAAAAGATACGCATTTTTCCTTCACTTACAGAACCCGCAATGAATAAATATCATGCAGTGTTTAGCAGCTTATGTTAAACTTTTTCAGGAAAAGGCCATTGCTCTAATACATCACCATGAAAGGTCACAAGTGAGATGTTTGTATAAAATGCAGTTTTATGTATGGACTTTCCATTCTGAGAACTGATTTCTTGCAGTCAGTGTTTTCTAGGGGCTGGGGGTGATTTGCATGGATTTCTTCAACATTATTTTTAATGTGTCTTATTCCATTAGACCTGTGCAAAGGCATCATATAGAACCATGAAATTTTAAGGCTACTAAATATAAAAGTTGACATGATCTGGACAGATTTCTGTGAGCCTTGCACCCAAATTTTCATCTGATCACAAGCCACAAGGCAGAGAAACCTTCTTCATGAACCTGTAGTGGAAGGGGTGATAATTTTGCTCCCCCGTCTTTTTCTTTTTCTTTTTCTTTTTTTTTTTTTTAATTCTCATTCTGGTTTTTAATAGTTAGAGATGTGCTTCAGCCCTGAGGCACCAGCTTTAATTTCCCATCTAAATCTGCACTGCTATTAATCATGATGGCTCCAGATAGTCCTGATTTCGAGCTGTGCCCGTCTGGTTTCTAACAGTTACATCCTCGCCGTGGTGTGATGGGCAGCGTGGCTGCGCATACGAGAGGATGCTCGGGGAGGTGTGTTGGAGCACAGTGGTGCCCTGCTGTCTGGTGTCACCTCCTCACTGGGGACCTGTCAGACTACAGGGCCCTCCCCACCACCATTGTTGGCTCATCCAGCCTGGGGACTCTCTGAGTTCCTTCCTTGCCCTTAAGCAACGTTGCACTGGGGCATCCCAAAACACCCATGCAATTGGTGCAGTTTATGTGTAGATGTGGCACTTCGGGACATGGTTTAGTGGTGGATTTGGCAGTGTTAGGTTTATGGTTGGACCTGATGATCTTAAAGGTCTTTCCCAGCCTAAATGATTCTATGATTCTAAATGGAAAGAAGGCACTGACGTCCCACCCTGGCTGGCACGCCATGAAACCCCGGTGCCACTTTAATCCTTCCTGCAGGGATGTTCCAGCAGCTTCCCGTGAGGAATCCAGGCTCCTTTCCCAGCTGAGATGCACTTGAATTAGCAACATTAATTCAGAAGCGCTTTGCTAATGGCCCAGGCAGTGGCTCATTTACTTGCGATGTGAAAGCTCTGCTAGGCTGGGAGAAGTGGGAAGATCTGTGCATTGGCTTCGGCACAAACGTTGGTTTGAGAAGACCTGTGTTGCGATGGGAGTGGCGTGTGGAGAGTTTTGATTCTCTGCCATTAATTTCATACCACGCTTCAATCCGCCAGCTCTGTTAAAGTTTGCATTTGCAGTTTCAAGATCAAAAATGCTTTGTGCGGGGCAGGGATTAAATCACAATAGAGAATGCCTAATGTGTAGATTTTATTCCTGTCTATCTGAAAGAGTGAAGAATGTTTCTGATGAGGCTCATAAAACATCATTTTTTTTCCAAAAAGTTTATAACTAACAGCTGTTTTGCTGCCTCTTCTCAGCATGCCAGACTTATACCCGCTTATTTTAATTATTGCATGAGGGTCATAAATTTAAATTCAGCAAATCACAATTGCCATACCATGTGGTTGGAGCTTCCTCTTAGAAGACAATGCAAAACATTGGAATGCTTGAATGGCCCAAGAGGAGAGTTACTTTGGGGCCATATGTGACAAAAAGGCAAGATTAGGTCAATAGGACTTTATTTGTAATATGAAAGCTGGGCTCAAGGTGAGCTGAACTCAGTGTCAGGTATTAACTAAGCCCCTGGCTCTGGTGTTGGGAAGGCAGGAGACTGAATAAATTATTTGTGCGTGGGCACCACTTTATTCTGCCCATTTAGGGTGAATCAACCCCACCTTGTGCCTCTTTTAATTAAGGAGAAAAGTATGAGAGCTTGTCTGTGCCTGTGAACGCGTCTTCCTCTAGAAATGTCTTAAACGTGAGTTAAGGAAAGGCTTTAGGAGACTACCTGAGAGTACACTTGTCTGATCTTATGAGATAAATGAATATTTGTCTGTGGGACCTTCAGGAAGAATCCCAGATCTCAGGGGAAAAAAAAAAAAAAAAAAAGTGGGTGTCTTTTTAATTTATTTAAAAAAAAAAAAAAAAATTAAAAAGTTTTTTTGCAAACCCAGCACAGAACTATTGTCTCTACATGGTGCCTGGGGCTCCGTGCTACTGTAACTGTCATGTGTTAGATGAGATATAAAACACAGGGTTTGACAGCTGGCAACTGTTACAGATCTGGAAAGCTGGAAATGTTTACTTTGGCGGACATGGTAAACTGCATACCGAGCAATTATATTCCGCATTTTCCACGTTTCCCTACAGAAATCTCTCACTGAGGAGAGCTAAGTGTGTGCTTGCTCTCCAGGCATGAGCAGTCCCTAGGGTAAGCATGTGCACGTTTGGCTGGATTACAGCTTGAATTAAAGTTGTCCTTTGTGCTGTGCATGACTGTGGGCAGTGCCACTAACGTGCCATCAAACTGGTCCCAAGTGGCAGTGCTGGGAAGGCAGATCCACGTTTGTAGTGTGAGAAGTGGCTACTCTTATGGGTCTGTCAGCCCATTGTTGCTATCGCTGGTGAAGCTCTTTGGTTTTGGTCTAACAGAGCTGAGTCTGCTTGAAACCTCATAAACCATGGATTTGAGCCTGAATTACCGACTCTCAGAAGTGTGGCAGAGCTGAACTTGTGTGTGGTGGTCTTCAGCAGCAGATCTAAAAACCCTTCTCAAAAGCGCAGCCCCAATCCCCTCTTGGCATCCAAGGAGAGGGCACCAGACCACATGAGCTGTCTGCAAAAATCAGGGAGGGGGTGGAGGCTGCAAACAGGATCTTCTTTTTTATTTATTTATTTTTTTTTTTTCTGGTGCTGTTTCACACTTGGCCATATGTTGAAAGTGTTTGTAAAATGCTTTAGGATCCTTTGAGAAGGAACGTGATGTTCAACTGCCAGAAAATGCTGCTATTATATAGCTACTAAACATAGTGTTTTGCAAACCACACATCCTGGAATAAAGTGTGTTTTGGTTTTTTTTTTCTTCACAAAAGCTTTTTGCAACACACCTGCTATTTTGTTCTGTTCTTCTCAGAGAACATCCTTAGAGAAAACTGAACACAGTCAGGACTTTCAAGAGTGTTTGGAAAGCCACAACCAAGGAGAAGTGTCCTTTGCTGTTTCTGCTCTGATTTCAGGATACTGTAGGGATTCCTCATGCTTGGCTGGGTACTGGTTATAAACGATGGCTGAGGCTTCAGAGGACACCTGAGGAAATAGCCAGGGCTCTGTGTACGAATAATGGTGATCAAACTATCACTGGGGCCTGATTTCATATTAGGTGTGACAATTTCAGTGGTTTGCTTCAGTGATGGTGTTGCTGGTGCTCTCTGAGAGAGCCTAGCATCAGGAAGCCAGACTCCAAGCACAGCACCTTCTAGCCCTAATTTTTATGAATCAGTTCATTTTTTTTAGATTTAAATCCCTGTAGCTTGGGTAAGATGGATGCTGGACACAGGTCATATGGTTTAGTTTCCTAGAGAGAGGCAGATAGAGTCCTGGGGATCTTCTCTGACATCCCATCATGCTTCCCCTGGTCTCCTGTGCCACATCTGTGAGTCCCATGCAGATGTCATGGATCCTCAGGTGTTTGTCAGCTCATCCCAGATGCCTCTGTTTGGGCAACTGTATTCTACCCAGGATTTGGGATGCTCATAATCTTTTCATACATGTTGCATATGGGCATCCTTTTCCCAGTTTCCTCTGATTGCCATTCAGTGGGTCCAAATGGAGCTGTCACCAGCCGCATCCCTAACCCAAACTCTCTTAAACTGCTTGAAGAGCACAGATGCTTAAGAGGGAGAGGTGTTATCTAAGACAGGTGGCAATTCCTGATTTATATCCTTTCATCCCATTCCTCTTGTCTCTGGTCTTCCTTTCCTAAAGTAGTCATTGTTTTTTTTTCCAGCTTGAACTTCTCTCTCTGGCAAAAAAAATCTCTACATTATGCCCAGCCCAGTATGCTCCTATTTTTAACTGGAGCTTTTGGATGTTTCCTGTAATCGGTAATAGTATTCATTACGGGTCAGACTAATGACATGAAAGGAATCAGTTGTGACAAATCTCTCCTAAGGAGAGTGATAGAGGGACCGTTGATCGCCCAGGCAAGACCTCTCCCCTGAAATTCAGGACAGAGTGGTGGTTTTAGTTCTGCACTCAAAACTATGAAGACTAATATTAAACAGGACACCTTTCCCTCCTCTAAATACAATTTTCTGTCAGATGAATTGTGCATTTTAACAGTAAGACAGACTATTTCTCCAAGACTGATTTACAGATTTTTTTTTTTTTTTTTTAAAGGAGAACAATATTTCTCAAAAGTTACAAACCCTTTGGCTGTCTTAGGGTGTTTCCTTCCATTATTTGATATTCTGGAGGAGTTAAGTGTAAGATAGAGAAACCCAAGCGTTACTTTCTGCTCAGAGACAATCCTGACCTGGCTATATGACTAGACTTGAAGTCCAACAGGGTTTTTATGTCTTCAGCCCCCTAATAGATGGGCACGTGCTGATGCAGTAGGTTAAAACGAACATGCTTTTGGTTTCGCTTGGAAGCCAAATCCCAACATAAGCAGCCCGCGCTCCCTTCATGCACTGGTGGCTTGGCTGGCCTTGGATGCACACGCTGTGCTTTAATAACCTGCAAGTCGCCATGTTGTTTGCAGGCTGCCAGATTATTTATACTCCATCTGTTCCTCTCCGTCCGTAGCACTCACCAGCCCTTCTCCCTGACTGCTGTTTGCCTGGCTCAAGACGTGCGCAGCGTCCTGATTCCTCTGTTGTTCGGCTGCCTTTTGACCCGCTCCTGTCTCAGCTCGTTAAGGCCATTTATCTTTGTAAGACCTAATAACCATCATTAGGAGTATACCGCAAAGGTCCTT